AGCATCCCATCACCTGTTACTCCTGATATATTTCAAGTCAGCTGAAATTAATACCTTCCAAACTGCCATTTTTGCGTCTGGGAAAACGCGTAGCCACGTGTGGTAAATAGCTCTAGCGGGTGATCGCGGTGTCTGATACATGATACCCCAGAAATCGATGCAACTTTATTATTGAAAAATAGTCAGAATCTGGGGCACGCCTTTTTGAGTTACTCCGCTTCTCCACTTTTACCAACAGATATCACAGCTTTCTCGCAAAGTACTCCGAGTGCCTGAGTAGGTAAGCTTACCGCCTAAACAACGACGTCGTTCAAGAGTCTGGAGTATTTTGACTTGCAGTTTTGTTTCTTGATTTGAGTCGAGTCCTGCGGAAAGAAAAAAAATAAAACTGTGCAGATACGTTACGTTTACACATACGTCGATTTACCGTGATACAGCTTACAGCTCTTGGAGCCTTACTGGTTCACAAATCCCTCGATCGTCAGAATTTTTGGACGGCCACTGCAGGCAGCTTCCCTCCCCTGAAACAGAACGGTGTTTCCCTTCTCAGCTGGTATTCCCAGACCACACACCCCCCCTCCACTCGCTCTTCGCCTAGACCCCATAGTCATACCCGAATACATTCCCCGCTGCCTCCACTCCCCCCCCCCCTCCCCCCCCCCCATCACCCTAATAACCGTGCTGTCCTTAATTCCCTAATCCTGTAATGGAAGCCTCCTCATCGCTCCTTTATTCCGGGGCCGAGAACGCGGGGGCGGGAGAACGTGGGGAATGCAAATGCGCTGCAGAGGAAAGTCATCGAAGTTACAATACCTTTTTAGAGCAAGATACTAGTTTGACGCGGTCTCCGCCGGGTCTTGCAGGTCCTACTGTTCAAAAGCTCGATGCGCCCCACTCGCTTTCGCTGAATTTCTTTCTCCAACGACGACGGCATAGCTTTCTTCCTTCTTTCAATTCCTTCAACGACGATTGTGAAGAAGCTGCGAAGGCAGAACACTTCTCAATTGGTCTTTGGGTTAGGTATACAATAATGGCTGCACTATTACTAGCTGCGTTGAGCTTCGTCTCAATCGCAAATGGTTTCCCATCCCAGAGCATTCAGGAACGTCAACTCGGCGCTCCCCCATTGAACGACTTCCTGAATGTCTCCAGACCTGCCCAGATGGCAGAGTACGACGCTGAGACTTGGACTCTCGGTACTCATGTCTTCCTCCCGAACCAGTACCAGGTTCAGCCCTACATTGCGAACGGATACCACGGTTCTAGATTGACTGCTGAAGGTGCCGGATACTGGGTACGTCATCTCTATGAGCTGCAGGAAGTCAATTGCTAATTATCACCTACAGAGAATCCACAATGAGACCGGTAACACCTGGCCTATCAACGGATGGCCGCTTGACAACCCTCGCCAGACATTCGCTACCATCGCCGGTTTCTGGGACTCCCAGCGCAACACTACCCGTACCAACTTCCCAGAGCTTCTCAAAAACGGAGGAGAATCGGTCATTTCCGGAATTCCCACCTGGTCTTCCTTCATCGTCTGTACCGCCGATGCTCAGAACTGCTACAAGCCTGGTGTCAACGCAACTCAGGTTGAGTACTACCACCAGACTTTGTCCTTGAAGGATGGAACTGTCAAGACCTCTGTTGCATGGAGACCGGTTAAGGGAGGTCCTGTCTACGATTTGGATTTCACCGTTATTGCTCACCGTGAGCGCATTAACCTCGGAATGATGAAGATTGATATTTCTTCTTGCTCCGACTCTCAGCTCATTGTGACCGACATGCTTGATGGTGAGGGTGCCCAGCGTACCGACCCCGCCGGAAAGGGTGTTGAGAACGATGACCTCATCTGGTCTGCTGTTCACCCTGATGGAATCGCCAATGTCACTGCCTACGAGTTCTCCTCAATCAACTTCAAAAACGGTCATGAGCGCTTCGTTGTTAAGGGATCCCGCAAGAACGCTGAAGCTCGCCCTTGGGTTACTCGTAACGACTCTACTATTGCCTCTGAGTACACTCTCAATGTCCAGAAGAAGCAGCAGGTCACCATCCTCAAGTACGTCGGAATTGCATCCACCGATGCTTTCCCCAACCCTAAGGAGACTGCTCTTAAGGCTGTCGCCGATGCTAAGAAGACTGGATGGAACAACCTTGTCAAGGAGCACCGCGCTGCTTGGGAGGCCCTCTGGGACGATGCCGATATTGAGATCCCTGGTGATGATGTTGAGGAATTGCAGATTTCCGCTAGAGCATCGTTGTTCCACCTTCTCTCTAACGTCCGTTCCGAGACTGAGGGACCTGGTATTGGTGACAACTCCATCTCTGTTGGTGGATTATCCTCTGACTCCTACGCCGGACTTGTCTTCTGGGACGCGGATCTTTGGATGCTTCCCGGATTGATGGTTCTTCACCCTGACCACGCCGCTTCCATCAACAACTACCGTTACCGCCTTCTTCCCCAGGCCAAGGAGAATGCTAAGCAGTACAACCTCCCCGGTGCTCTCTACCCCTGGACTTCTGCTAGATACGGAAACTGCACTGGAACTGGACCTTGCGCCGACTACCAGTACCATTTGAACACCGACATTGCTCTCGTCCACTGGCACCAGTTCTTGACCACCGGTGACATGACCTGGTTCAAGGAGAAGGGATGGCCCATCATTGAAGCCGTCGCTGAGATGTGGTCTGTACTCGTTAAGAAGGCTCCCACTGATGACAAGGACGGACTCAAGAAGGGAATGTACACTGTCAACAACATGACTGACCCCGATGAGTACGCCAACCATATTGACAACGGAGCCTTCACTACCGCCGGAGTTAAGGTTATTATGGGAATTGCTCAGAAGGCTGCTGAAATCATGGGAGTTTCTGCTCCCGCCAAGTGGGCTGATGTGGAGAAGAACATGTTCATCCCCTACAACACCGATGCTGGAATTATCCCCGAGTACGCTCAGATGAACGGATCCGTTGAGATTAAGCAGGCTGATGTTGTCCTTGTTAACTACCCCCTTGAGTTCCGTCTCAACGAGACTCAGGCTCTTAACGACCTTGACTTTTACGCCCGCGCTCAGTCTCCGGATGGACCCGCCATGACCTGGGCCATGTTCGCCATTGGAGCTCTTGACCTTTCCCCCCACGGTTGTGCTTCCTGGACTTACTTCCTCTACGCTTCCCAGCCTTACCTTCGTCAGCCCTACTACCAATTCTCCGAGCAGATTCTTGACGACATCTACGCCAACGGAAACACCAACCCCGCCTTCACTTTCCTTACTGGACACGGAGGATTCCTTCAAATCCCCACCCACGGATTCACTGGTTACCGTCCCCGCCTCGACGCTTTCTACCTCGACCCATCGATCCCTCCTCAGCTCGAGCAGGGTGTCATCATCAAGGGAATGAAGCACCAGGGAGCCTCCTTCAACGTCCACGTCTCCCCTGACAACACCACCATTACCCGTCGTGAGATGGGCCACATGAACCGCGGCGAGGCCAAGGATGCTAAGCCCGTCACTGTCCGTATCGGAGACCGTAACCCCAAGGCTGGAGACTACCAGCTTGCCCCCGGCCAGTCTCTTGTCATCCCCACCCGTCGCCCCGACTTGAACGGAACCGACATCCCCGGTAACAAGGCTGAGTGCAAGCCTGCTTTCTCGCTCAACCCTTACGTTCCTGGGCAGTACCCTGTTGGAGCTGTCGATGGTTCCAACCACACCCAGTGGCGTCCTTTCACTGCTGCTCCTTCTGAGCTCGTCGTCGACTTGCATGAGCAGACTGAGTTCTCCAGAATCTCTATGAACTGGGCTCAGTGGCCTCCTATGAAGTGGTCTGTTCTTGCTTCCAACGACTCCAAGGCTTGGGAGAAGGTTCACCATGCTGAGTCGGTTGTCTTGTCGGAGCCTTGGAAGCCTGAGGAGGCCTTGAAGGTTACTATGAAGACTGGTAACACTACCGTCGTTGACCTTGGAGATAAGAAGACTGCGAGATACATTAAGCTTGTTGTTGAGGGTGATAGACAGGGTGATGGTATGGGAGCAACTGTTGCTCAGTTTGCTGTTTTGTAGAGGGATAAAGAGGAAGATGATGCTAGAAGGGGAAGATTATACCAGAAGGGGGAGATGATACCATGTATTTGGCGGTTTAGGTTTTTATGTAATGCGCGTTTGGGTTTTTATTTATGGGGTTTATGATTATGAGTGATGTATAGTAGCTAGATGAAGGAGGCGTTAATAGGAAGAAATCATTTACTTCCACCTTTTTTTTAAGAAAATTCCCTTGCGTCATCTGTGTTATGTTCATGGTATTATCATTGCATCTCGAGCATTGTTACGGAGTTGATTCTACATTCAGCCTACTAAACCGTAGCTGGACATCAGGGTATCACTCTGACCGGTTTTAAATACATAAGTTACAAGAAGCTAACAAATATGATACAACTCAAGTAGCAGGGGCATCAGAGGGATGTGAGATAGATATAATAAGGCATGGCAGACCATGATACGGAGAGGAGGAGAGGGAGATATAGGGGAAGATAAAAGGGAGAAGGAGAAGGAGAAGGAGGTTAAGGAAGCGGTTAGAGAACTTGGATGCGTAGGATAAGTGTTGTAGGATTTTTGTAGGGCTTTGTTTTTTTTTCTTATATCAAAAACGTCTTCATAATTTACGGTTCCACCTCATTATTATCAACATCAAAAAAACTTTTCCTCACACCAGAAACAGTTACTTCTTAGAACTTTCGTATCACACATGAATCTCTCCGTCCAATCCACCATCACTATACTATAAAACACTAACTTACCGCTTTCATCGACCATCTAAATTCCTTCTCTCTAATCTTCCGCTGCTTGACCAAAAAACTATCTAGTAATTACAAATACTTGCTGTCTCTTTACAACCTGTAATTCACACGCGGCTAACTCGGCTAAAACCATCTGCCTAGCGCACGACATCACCCTTCACGGCCCATGGAGGATACCGCAGCAAAAAAAGCTCAAAAATACTGATGTCCGCAGGATTCGAACCTGCGCGGTTTGCACCACTAGCACCTGAAGCTAGCGCCTTAGACCACTCGGCCAGAACACCATTTGTTGACTGAAGGGTATGTATTTAGTATTAGTACCATGAATTATAAATAACTAACTTCCAATTTCCGGCTTTGTTGATATTTATCCGCGCCCAACACACCGTGAAGTTTATGACAAACGTAATAAAGCAGTCAAAACTAATGGTGTTGGATTTTGAGCAATCAGATCGCATCAGTGCATCGTCACTTCACATAACCGATGAATCACCGCCATAAACTAGAAACTCTTCTTATCAATTCCTTCTTGTAAACCCATAAAAAAAACCTTGTTGATATCAACTTTTAAACCCTCCTCTTTTGATCCTCCTATTTTTCTAATCCTACCGCCCCCCAAAATTCCTTCATATAATCTTTTAGTCTAACTGAACGTCAACTACTTTCTTACTCGTCTCCGACAACAACACCCTGACCCTGCTTCACAACCTCAGGAACCCGCTCGCTTCCATCCTTAACCTCAGTGGTCTTAAGGTGAACAGGCTGCTTAACCGGAGGCAAAGCAGATCTGCAGGCCTCTCTGCTCTGCTGGATGCACAAAGCGTCCATAATAACCAAAGCAGCCATAGCCTCAACAATAGGAACAGCACGGGGAACAACACAAGGGTCGTGTCTTCCCTTAGCCTCAAGAACACCAGCCTCTCCATCGTATTTCGCAGTAGGTTGCGCCTGTCCAATGGTAGCAGGGGACTTGAAAGCAACACGGAAGTAGATATCCTGTCCGTTGCTGATTCCTCCCTGGATTCCACCAGAGTAGTTGGTCTTAGTAGCGAGCTTGCTGGGGTCGTTAGGGTAGCGAGGGTCCTGAATGAAGGCGTCATTGTGGGTAGAACCAGGAATTTCAGTTCCTGCAAATCCGGAACCGATCTCGAAACCCTTGGTAGCGGGGATAGACAACATAGCGTGTCCGAGCTTGGCCTCGAGCTTGTCGAAGCAAGGCTCTCCCAAACCAATGGGGACGTTACGGATAACACAGGTTACTGATCCTCCGATAGAGTCCTTCTTGTCGCGGTACTCAGCGATGAGGTTTCCCATCTTCTCGTTGTATTCGGCATCCGGGCAGCGAACAGGAAGGAAGGAGTCGACCTTCTGTCTAGTCAATCCAGCGAGGAATTTGTGGTATTCGGGAGAGTCAGGGTTCTGGGACATGGGAAGGTGAATAGGTCCAACAGAAGAGACGAAAGCGGTGATAGTAGTTCCATGGGTCATGGAGAGGTATTTCTCAGCGATACCAGCAGCGGCAACACGTCCAATAGTTTCACGGGCGGAAGAACGTCCACCACCAGATGATGCCTTGATTCCGTATTTAACGAGGTAGGTGAAGTCAGCGTGGGACGGACGGGGGTAGAGGTCCATCTCGGAGTAGTCGTGGGGACGCTGGTCTTGGTTTCTAACCATCATGGCGATGGGGGTTCCAAGGGTGTAGCCGAACTCAGTACCGGAGTGGATCTCGACAAGGTCCTTCTCATCGCGGGGAGTGGTGAGAGCGCTCTGTCCAGGGCGACGACGAGACAACTGGGGCTGGATGTCGGCTTCGGTCAAGGGAAGTCCTGGGGGAACTCCGTCGACGATGCAGCCGACGGAACGGCAGTGAGATTCACCATAGCTGCGGGGGACTTTAGTTTATGAGGACCAACACGGGAATCGAGGACTGACGTGGTGACGCGGAAGGCGGTTCCAAAGGTAGACATGGTTAATTTTTGTTCGTGGTGGTGAAGCAGTGACGATGTGAAAGTAGGGCGGGAATGCGAGGTGATGGGTGGTCGTCGGATTTTTAGCTTGCACTTCTATGGGAAAGACTCACAAGTCGCTGTAGAACCCCGCCCCCGCCCCAGCTGAAATTATTGGCGTCATATATATATGTCAGGGCACATTACGCGGTAACTCATAAACTACAACTCGTTTTCCTGACTCAATTAAAGTAAAAAAAAAAATAAAAAAAAAATAAAACAAAATTAATAAAAATTAATAAAAATAAATATCGGGCGACAAATAAACGTCATTCGCACGTATGCAATTGTCAATTGCGGAATGCAGTCGCTCAAAACTGTTCAAGTGGCGTCCCCAAGGCAGGGCGAGCGCCCGAGAAACACAGCGTTTGGTACGCGGGTTACAACCGTATCCACGTATTCCGCTGACTATGTGGGACAGAAAAAAAATCTTAGAAGATCTATGGAATTTCTACATATCACGGGAATACGCATACGATCTAGGGAAACCCGTATTTCTTCTCGATGTCACCAATTTTGGCAGCTGGAAACGGCTTGTCACTGAAATCCGGGAAAACATTCATCCAGCCGCGGCTCAGAGCAGCAGGGGGTGGGGGGGGGGGGGGGGGGGGCAGGGTCTTACACGCTCATACATGCGAGTACCTACCTACAGGCTACCCCACCGCGTTAACACCCCGCGTCATCCCCGCATTGAAGCTCCGCCCCGCGTCGTCGCGTCATCTGTAGGAACCATCACCGCTTCATTCCAACAATCCATATTCCAACGATCAATATTCAACAATCACAATCCACATTTCTCCGTCCTTTCTCCACACAATGTCACCCTCCCGGGGCCTAACCGCTACGCACACCTTTTCACGACTCCTAGCCTCCCAACTCCCGAACCAAATCTACCTCTCCACCTCGACAAACCCCCACGTGAACCTATCCCTCGAACACCACCTCTTCACCACTCTCCCCTCCTCCTGTCGAACTCTCCTCCTCTACCGCAATACTCCCTCCATAATCCTCGGCCGTAACCAAAACCCATGGCTCGAAACCTCCCACTCCTCTCTTCTGCGAACCCGAGTCCAACTTCTCCGTCGGCGCTCCGGGGGTGGAACCGTCTACCATGATCTTGGCAACACCAACTACTCCGTCACCGTTCCCACTGCAGAGTTCGATAGAGACAAGCACGCCTTGATGGTTTCCCGGGCGTTACGGAACTTACATATCCCAGCCGCAGTTAACGGAAGACATGATATTGTTGTTCTTCCTAGCTTTGAAGCAGAGGCGGATGATCCAGAGGCAAAGAAGTGCTCTGGTAGTGCTTATAAATTAACTAGGCATAGAAGTTATCATCATGGAACTATGTTGTTAAATACAGATCTAGGGGCTGTAAAACAATTGTTAAAGAGCCCGGCGAAGGATATCATAACAGCAAGAGGAGTGGCGAGTGTTCCAAGTCCGGTTGTGAATACGAAAGTTACGCATGAGGAGTTTAGTGTATCGGTTCTTAGAGAGTGGGAGAAATTATATGGGAGTGGAGGGTTTGCGTTGGTCAGTGAGGCGGAGGCGAAGAGTGTGGATGAGATTGCAAAGGGGATTAGGGAATTGAAATCAGAGGAATGGGTTTATGGACAGACACCAAAGTTTGATATTTCTTTACCGAATGGGGGGAAATTGGCGGTGGATAAAGGGGTGGTTATTGAAGGACCCAGTAGCAGCTTACTGGGAAGGAAGTTTGGAACACAGGTTGTGGTTCAGGCACTTCAGGAACTAGGGATGGGGAGGGATGAGGCAAGGAGATGGGCAGAGGAAATGGTGGGGGGTTCGGTCTGGGGGGTTCATTATAATAGCCAGGATATGGCGAGAGGAGATAGGCAGACGGTTAAGCCGAAAGATATATTGGAGGACGTTGGGTATCCTGTTATTTAGACGGTTCGATGTTGAAAATTTCTTAAATGGGGGAGACGGGTCGGGTGTAGTTTTTTTTTCTCTTTTTTCTCGGATGGGATTATATATAGATACCGAGGATTACAGGGCTATTGGAATGTTGGATGTGCGGGGCCGAGAAGACTGGCGGCTGGCCGAGTCGGAGTCACCAGTCCGTGGCCGCCAAAACGAGTGAGCGCCTATGATAGAGATAGGAATACACGTTGGTGATGCATATACCCCAAGGCTACGGAAGCTTGCCTTAGGCTGAGGGAATTTTGAGGAAGCAAAGTTAAAATTATAATTATTCTATACAAGCAAATATACTAATTCTAGAGCAAGTAGCGCAAAACAAGAAGAATTACAAAAACAGAATCCACCAAAATGAAAAAACTCCACGCCCACCCTGGCGTCTATGCAACCATCTATGCATATTGTACAGAACAAAGGAAACCAAACCAATTAATTTTAAGTAAATAATGTTTTGAAAATTATAAGTTAGTGATTACCAATTCAAGTCTGGTTCTCTATGACTTGATATTAAGACGGAACGCATGGATTCCATCCTTTGGACCTCCCATCTTCTCCCGGCGTTGCTCCCATTGCTTATCACCAGTTCCATCAGGAACAGATCGGGGATCTACAGGGATTTTGTTCTTTCGTCTCCCGGAAACTCCTTGACGAGGACGGTCGTATTCAATTGGAGCGGTTGGTTTCTCTGTCGTGAGAGTTAGCAAAGTTTGATCCGCATGAGCTCTATGGGAACTTACTGGAAGTAGGAGTCGTAGATATAGGAATGATAGATATATCGATACCGAGATCGGTAACTCCTTCATCACCGGCACCGTAATGATGAAAGCGGAGAGGTTCAGGAGTTTTGGGTGGGGTTGGAGGAGATGCAACTGGTGCCAATGGTGTAACTGGTGCAACTGGTGCTACGTACGCCACTGGGATTAGATATGATATTCTAAATACGTCCGGATAAAAACTGAAGAAGAGACTTACCTGGGCTAGTGGTGGCGGGGTTGAGGAGGGAACGGATATCCATGATTTGTGTTAGGTATCCAGTATCAGGTGTTGGAATTTGGGTATTAACAGTTGACGATTATCGATTAGATGGTAAGGTATTAATTGCGGTAAATCGGTGATTAGGTGTATTAAGTTTTAGGTGTTAGGTGTTAGTTGTTAGTTGTTAGGGATTATCGATTATCGATTATGCTGATTAGGTGTCTCTCTTGGATTGTAATGAGTGTCTGGCTGGAATTCCGCAGCGTGATAGTTGCTTCTTCTAGCCTCACGGTATGAAGTTCTTATAACCGTATTGTATGCCTTCACCACCTTCACCATCTTGCAGTTTGATA